ACCCGAATTGGTGGTTGGGAATCAGATATCTATTTTCGATAATTGGCTTTAGACGTTTTAGGAATACTCTCTCAAATACTTTTGACAACACAGGAAGTAAGCTGATCGGTCTGTAAGATGTTGCAAGTTCGACGGGCTTACCGGGCTTTGGAATTAATATAATTTGAGCGACTTTCCATTGAGCTGGGTAGTGTTCACAGGTGCAAATTGCATTGAACAATTGGTTTATGAATTTAAAAAACACATCTGGTAGCTCATGTAGCACCTTTCCGGTTATCTGGTCATATCCTGGAGCTTTTCTGGTTTTAATTTTGTTTTTTATGACCCACTTTAATTCACGAGTCAAAGATCTAGGAATAGGAAAGTCTAATTGATGCGGTGTGTGAAGAAAAGCTTCAACTTCAGAGTCTTTCAGATTATTTTTTGAGCAGTTTGGCTGAAAGACTTCACCAAGATGCACTGCAAAAGCTTTCGCTTTATCAGCATCAGTTTTAGCCCATTACCCATTACTCATCTTTATTGGTGGTATATGCGATGTTGGTGCATTAAGTATGCGTGTGGCTTTCCACAAGGAGTACTCAGTGACCTCAGAGGGAGACAAGCTTGCTAAGTAAGTTGCAATGCTTGCATTTTTTCTTGCCTCTAGATTTACTTTGAGTTTTTTAGTGGCTACATTCAGGCGCCTCTTATCGTTAGGATCTCTCGTCATCTGCCAAACCCTACGTAATTTACGTTTTTCAAGTAGTTGTTCTTTGATATCCTTGTCTAGATGTACAGTCCTACAATTCTGTGTAGACGGAGTTGCAGACCAAGCTGCCTTTTGTACAATTTTGTTGAATTGTTCTACTGCGGCTTCAATGTCATGATTAGTTTTAAGAGGAATATGTGTCGAGAGGTGTTCGCTAATGTAACTACGGAAAATAGCCCAATCAGTTCTTTTGTTGTGAAGTCTTAGTTCTGGAGTTTTTAGGACGATATTCGAATGAATTTCTAATAGAAGAGGAGAGTGGGAGAGTGGTCAGACGAAAGATCTAACGACGACCGCAAGGTTAGATTATTTATGGGTACGCCCTTACAAATGCAAAAGTCAATGACATCTGGTGTTTTATTAAGATCTATCGGCCAGTAAGTGGGTTCGCTAGTAGATAGGTGAAATAGGTTGCTTTCTTGTATCGTTTTTAATAGCTCGCGTCCTCTGGGTGTTATTAACCTTGAGCGCTAATGAGTATGCTTGGCGTTAAAGTCACCTGCTGCTACGAAATTGGGCCCGAGCGTTTTGAAATAATTTGCGAATTGATGACTTTTAATTGGTTGATTAGGTGGACAGTATATAGAGGCAATAGTTATTTCACCATATATATCTTGTACTGATATGTTGATTGTAGATAGTCTTCATTGTGATTGGTGAGAAATGAGTGGTCAATATTATTTTTTATGATTATTGCTGCGCCACCACGGGCGTTACCAGAAGGATGGTTTGCGTTGTACATTGTGTAATATGGAAGCCTCAGATAACTTTTTGATGTAAAGTGAGTTTCACTAATAAGCATAATATCAATGTTTTTGTCAAGAAGAAAAGTCTTAATTTCGCAAATGTGTTGGGTCAGCCCGTTAGCGTTCCAAATAGCTATCTTTAGACTACTCATTATTTGGATGTATTAGCGACAAATGCGGTTAGGAGGTTGAGCATATAGCTCATTTGTTCCATAACCGTTTTGAGCATTGATTTAAGCACAGGAAAATCGTTTTGTTGAGCTGAGTTTACGTTCTCTTGAGTGTTTATATTGTTAGATTTAACAACATTTGCATACGTTTGGCTTGTTACATTCAATTTGGTGTTCTGTTGCCTTTCTGTATCAGTTGTTATTTTTCTACGTAGGGCTGGAAACGCTTTTTTCTGGAGTTGTTTGTAGACTGTGCACCTTTTATAGTTAGCCGGGTGATTACCTTCACAAAGAACACACCATACATCATTACCGGGGGATTTGCGAGGACAATCTGAGGATAAGTGGTTTTCAGGGCATTTAACACAGCGTGGCATACGATTACAAAAATGTTTTGTATGACCATATCGTTGGCACCGAGTGCATTGCGGCAATTCGCGCTTCTTTTTAGGCGCTTCAATTGAAATTTTTGTGTGCAGCAAGTCAGTACAGTTGTAAATTGTTTTCACCTTGTCTGAGGGCTTTAGTCCAACGAAAAACAGAGGAAGTGGTTTTTTTGTAACACGGCCTAAATTAATTAAATCTTTTTTGATTTCATCAATAGGTATTGATGGATGTAGGCCCCTCAACACTACATTAAAGCTTCTATCTTGCTTTAGCTTGTAAGTATGAAATTCCGTCTGCTTTTCTGCAAGAGCTTTGGTAACTTTTGAGTAGATATCCGCTGTGTTGGGCTGTATTTTGACTTCATTATTACCTAAAATTTTGAGTACAAACTCATTTGAAGCCATTGGCATCATTTAGCAGTGCCCGCAATGGTTGAATGTTACCAACACCCGCT